GGAAAGGCATAACATTCCGTTGCTCTCTTCGCTCTCTATTTACGTGCAGCTTCCTCGTTCTTCCTATCATCCTTGGAGCCCTTCTGTCCGCCCCACCCTTTTCTTCTGTCGCGAGCAAATTAAGAGTACACAACCAGGGGTTGACCTCGATATTTTAATGTTGCGTTTTTGATCGCATTAGGGGATGGTGAAGATCGTTTCAAGGTGGGATTCTTCGATGTCTGAACTGTCTTTCGAGTCTAGGAATTTATGGTAGATTGGTATCTATGGATGCGATTCCTTCGCTGGAATCCGACTTCGACGATTGTCTCTGAAACAATCGCCCAGTTCCACGGTTACGCATCGCGTCACTTTCTTCGAGAGGCACGATGCTATTGTGTAGTGGTGTGAACAAAAATTACACGAATCATTTCGGTGGATTACCTCCCCCCCTTCCGAGCAATACAGGGAGAAAACGAAGCACTGGTGTCAGTGACACTCGGTGCTCCTCTTGCGAGCTGTCGTTCGTTGCATGTTGCTTTGGGCATCGTACAGTGTGTTTGTCCACCTAAAGTGTAGTGTTCTGTGACACTGTTCGAATGAAAATTGGAAATTTTACGTGGAAGTTAGTATTTTAAAGTGTAGATATATTTCTGTGTATACGTTAACATTTTTGCATTTACCACAGTTATATATAACAATTCCTATTATAATTGTTATTACACACAATTAAACCCAATTTTTCATAGCCTCGATCAACAAATCCCCTTAAAATATTTGAACGAAATTAGAGTCTGGCAACACGTCAGTTCCAATCAAATGAAAGAAACAAAGAACTAACGATGCCTTATTTTGCCCCAAATCTCTTAAATTTACATTACGAATGCACACAGTAGGATTAGAATAAACCATCACATACTCAGAGATACGAAAGAATGCATGATTAATTGGAGTTCATAGGCCAACAAAGGGACAGAAAGGGTTGATACAGGAATCGGTGCCCTGAGGTTCACCCGTCTGGTAACCCAACGAGGAAGAAAAGTCTCTAATTTCGCGACATACAATAACGGTCAGCCGATTCTTCTGTGGAGGACACGGCAGGTACGACGACCTGCGGACGTATTTAAAATAAAGCCGCGCGTCAGCCGTAAAACCGCACACGGGACGTCGTCGAGTGACACGCATATCGCGGTGGATTAAGTCGCGTCCGTTTCACGCTCGCGAGCATCCCGTGTCCCTCTTCCTCCGGTTCACTCGGTCTTTCTTTCCTTTCTTTTTTTTTTTTTGTTTTTTTTTTTACGTCTCTTCTTTTTGTTCCTCCTCTGCTTGGCACCGTGGTGCAGCGCGTGCACCATCTGTGTTGCAGTGGCACTCGTTGCATCGCTCCGGTCGGACCTTAAACCGCGTATACATGTGTGTGTGAGCGCGACAGTGTCACTCGAGGAAATTACGAAGCTAGATCGACAGGCGGTAATGGAGTCGTTGAAGCCGTGGGAGTCCAGAACGTTGGAGAGACTGTCCGTTCGTAGGCTCAGGCGAAAACTGTCACGATGGTGTGTACCTGAGTTTCAAGGTGTATCGATACAAGGTGTACATTTAAAGTACGTTTTTTATGATACTTGTGGTGTAGTAATCATTGCGTAGAAAGTTAATACGATTCTATTGTCGCTCGACACAATGTCTTGTTAACGTTCTTTTGAACTGGACTGAGTCAATGAACCAGGCCACTGGTATCTCCCCTCGCCTCCTTTCCGAAGATAACAGACAAGACTCGGCGGTACAAGGTCCCCTGGGGTCATCCTCCCGCTGACACCGTGTCGTCGATTAATGCCTCATCGTGGATCAGCCAGATCGCTTCAATTAACCCTTTAACGGCCAGTGTTGCACCGGTGCAACGATTATTTTAAATGTGCGTCAAACTTTAACTTTTGTCAGCGAAGATCCGTGGTTTCACTGATGTGAAGTAAATCTTCGGGTTTTCAATTGAAAAAATTGAAGTATACCCTTAAAAAATAATTAAAAAAAAAGTTAGATCCGTTTAATATCGATACCTGCTTTCGACTTCGAAATAGTAAACAAAATATATATACATCGGTCTCTTAATTTTGAAATAACGATCTAAGGATAAGTTAAAGGGTTAACGCCTAGATCGATACTATATGTCATCTGGATCATTATCGATTCCATTCGAGAGGCATTCGACATGTTGCTCGCGGGACACAAAGTAAACTGGTATTATTTCGACTTCGAAACACTAAACAAAATATATATATATATATCAGTCTCTTAATTTTGAAATAACGATCTAAGGATAAGTTAAAGGGTTAACGCCTAGATCGATACTAGATGTCATCTGGATCATTATCGATTCTATTCGAGAGGCATTCGACATGTTGCTCGCGGGACACAAAGTAAACTGGTATTATCGTCGATCTTGGTAACAGAAGACCTAAGTCTCCATAAAACCGGCCGGTTTTTACGACTCCTCAGAGCCCGTGGGTTAAGCCGTTAAGCCGAACGTAACAGGTATCTCCTCGCTGCTCACCCGAATATCCGCGTTTTACGAAGCCCGTGGATCGTCTTAAACGCTCGCTGTTCCACGCGGATATATATTCTCGTGAGAGATTTCTGAGAGTGTGCTGTTTAACACGATCGTTTCTGCTTCTTTTCGCCCTGGTACCACTGATTTTCAGGCCGCTGGCGAAACATTTCTGGGAGAAATCCGTTCGAATGGGGCGCATCAAGTGGCCGCGCAGACTCGATTCATTCGGATGACACTCGAATGACCCAGCGTGCTACAAGCCACATTGTGGCGCTTAGCTTTCAACGAGGATGAAATCGAAATGTGTTTCCCATTGGACGTTTCGCGTTGGAACGATTAATTCGACATATGGCGCGGAAAAATTCTTGTTACTGCCGCGATTCGTACGATTCCACTCGTCTTTCGTTTACCGGTTCAAGTACCATTATGATACCGTGGGGTAATTGAAATACAAAAGTGTGGTTTTTCATCGAGGAGAAAATTGAAACCGATTGGTCCTCGTATCGCCGTCGACGTAAGCGATATTAATTACGGATAGGAAATATGTAGAGAGGCTTCGTGGAAGCGAAGCGTATTAATCCTTTACTTCCCAGACCCTTAAATCGTTATTTCAAAATTATGAGATTGATATATATGTTGTATTTTATTATTTTTAAGTTGTAAATATTGATATCAAACCACCTCATTTTTTTTTATCTATTTTAAACTCTTTAGCGTCCAAACGTTTTTTCCGAGGGTAAAAAAATTATTCCTCACGATTAGTTAACTCAAAATCGAATACATGTACCTCGTCTGTATTTTCACGAAAAAAAATCCCTGGAAATATCATTTTCTAGATGTGACGTATACGTCACACTGGGCGTTAAAGTGTTAAAACAATAACGCTTTCACGTTTCGCGTATATCGGTGGAATTCCTTTGACCTCGCGTTTTTCACGCATGCCTGAGCAAACATAGAGACACGCGGAATTAGATGATCCCGCGTTATCCGATCGTACTTCTTCGCGTTTCCCCCTGGGCTCCGCGAACATTCCGCGAAAATTGTGGAAAGTTTCACAAGGACGGGAGGATAGTTTCCCCTGGAAAAGTTTCTCCAACGTGAGTCGTTCCTTCTTTCTACCCACGACGATGCAAGCGATAATCCGAAAATCGTTAAACCGAGAACAGAGGCGTGTCCTTACCATCGAAATATTTTTCCCAAAAGAGAGCATTAAGAAATCGGTTTTGTGGCATGAACCACGCCTTGTCTGAGACTGCGTATAACGATTTCCCCCCCCCCCTACAAATATCCGACCCGTCTGAATCTTTAATTCCACGATATATCGACCGTGCCTGCATGTCCGTCTTCCGCCTGATTCCCATTCGTCCCTGGCGTTTTAATCGGCCCTCGACTGACGCTTCGTCTCGCTGTTAACGAAAATTAAGAGGAACATCGGAACGCCGAGGCGCCAGAGGGGGGTGAGAACGTTTCATGGCCGTCAGCGATTTTAATTAACTCGCCTGGGTCGACGATCGAAGTGTCCACGGTTTTTCGCACGTAACGTCCTTTATCGTGCGTAATTCGTGGGCGAAATTCTCAAAATTGTTTGAACGTTGGGCTTTATTACGGTAGACTCGCGTTAAAGTAGCGCTGCCGGGGCTCTCGAGGCGGGTTCTTCATGGAAACGCTACTTTAACGCGAGCCAATCGGCACGCAGGATCTCGTGGGAATTCGGTCGATCCACCAATTGGATCAGAACTTTGGTTACAGAAGGCTACCGATGTTAGGGTGTGCGCACGTGTGTGAGTGATGTGTGTGAGCTGGAGCGTTCTTACCGCTACTTTAACGTGAGTCTACTTCTAAAGAGTATCTCAGCAAGAACTTGAATTTCGAATCGCCCACCATTTTCGTTTGTCAAATGGTGAGTCAGTCATATTTGGCGGCTTTTTAGTTAATACATTTACATTTACGAAAATAAATGTTTGTAATGAAAACTGATTACATTACAAACGTTGTTGCAAACCAAGTTTCCAGGTCGTGTCATCTCTCGTCTCGGTGACCAAAACTGACCGCCACGAAGTTGCGATATAACCTGTTTGGATTATTTCCTCTGGGGCTTTTTGAAAAGTAAGGTCTAGGCAAACCACTCTGAGACAATTCAAAGACACGAAGAAGAAATTGAACGTGAAATTCGTAAAATCCACCCGCCCTTACTCCAAAATGTACTGCGAAATTTCGTCAAAAGAATACATACCTGCCACCAGACCAACGATGGCCATTTAACCGACATTTTATTTCACGTTTAAACTCATTAGTAACTCTGAAGATATCAACAATAAAATATAAAAAGAACAATTAAATTAATGTGTTTTTTAATTTATTTAAAATTCAAGTTCTTGCTGAGACACCTTTTAGATCCACAGATCTCTGGAGGGATTCAAGATATCATCCTGGCTTTCTGAATCGTCGAGTGACGGTGTTCTTCCGCTTTGAATTTCAGCCAGGATCTGTTGACGGTATGCAGGGAACTGAATCTCGAGAACTCGGTGGAGGAGTTGATGAGGGAATTAGGGGCGGACGAGCACGGTCGCATTTCCTATCAAGAGTTCCTCAGACGGCGCTTGGCTCTACGACCGGAAATCGAGGCGCTCAGGTCCGGCAAGCATCGAACTAGTCCCCACCACACCCACACGCCGGAGTACCTGCCCACCAGCAGCGACAACAGTCTCGGTTAGTGTCCTGTAGATAAGATATTACTTATAAAAAATAGAGGACACTTCGAACAAATATTACCACTTTTATGTGGAGGTACTATATTCGAGAAATAGATAAATGTATTTGGTCTTCAAAGAGTCACACCTTGTTCGCCATTATTGACGACACAGATTCTTGGAACCTTCTCCAGGTGTCTCCCAAGGATTCGAGGCACATTTCATCACATTTGCAAAGAAAAGAAAATACACGAGAGTGCTAATATATTTTCGAAGCATCCTGTAGCTGAAACGGTCTTCTTAACCTGCTGTATCTTCTTAATATTTCGTACAAAATTCTTTTTTTATAAAAACAAAAGAACCAATATTCAAATAAATTTAAAAATATTATTTTTGTACAAACGTGTTTGCTCGCGAAAAATAACGAACTAGTAATACCGTCTTTTTAATGTTCGGATGTCATTTAAAGAATTTTCGTATTGCCGATCGCGAAGAAACGTTCCAAATATTCTCCCTGAAGTGATAAAGTAGACGTCGACTGTAGTGGAGAAATGCAGTTAGCGGGTTAAAGGTCACTATTTAAAGAACAGTATCGAGCGTGTATAATATCAGTTTGAACAGCTACACGATCTATCATCGTGTAGCTCGCGCTGTCCATTATCCCCCTCCGATAACTTTCAGGGTGCAATATTTCTTGTCTGGCCAGGTACCGTATCGGGCCGGCATGAAAGTTGGGAGTTCGACAGTGGAGCACGGGACCTCTCCCCGGAGCCTCACACCCTTCAGAAGCTAGTGGAAGCGGCCGCGGGTGGAACCGGTAATATGCTGGACTTGGCGAACAAGGTGAGTTCTAACCTATCGAAACTCCCGCGATCATTCGCGATTATTCGAACTAAGTCGAGGAAATCGGTCGTAGAAGTGTCTAGTACCAGAGATGGGCAAACTAATTATCTAGATAAAAAGTTTCGAATAACGAATAAAAGAGAAATAACAGTATTTCGTCATTTTTAATTGTTTACACGTGGAAATTACAATTTTTATAATAAAATAATACTTCTTTATGGATGAAGCATTCTGAACGACACCCTTAAATACTGCTGCTTTTCACTGTGTAACTCTGTCTAGTACGAGTCTTCAGGTGCGTATCCACTTATCACAGTGGATCACAATTATGTATTAATATGGACAGGCAAACGTATCGTTGCATATGAAAAGGTATCGTACGGTGATACGATACAAGAATACGCAACAAGTGGATACGCACCTTTACAGTGGTAAAAACTCAAACGACAGCTTTTCTCGATAATCTTTCATCCCGTACACCTTGCTCAGACGTTACTTTGAACAGGTAAGAAAAGCTTGGCGAGGAATAGCAAGAATTTAAAAGTGTCTCGTGAAATAGCGTCGTGACGCAGTGAGAAACATTCAAGTGCAAATTATCCTAGTCAGGCCAGCGACCATTCCTCTTCACCGTGAAAACTGCTCTCAGTTTCTTTCTCCTAGCTCCTAACCTGTCCTCCAACTGTTCAGACGACGTCTTTTTACCATCATTTCAGTGACCCTTTCTTACGTAAGATGACCGATCGACGCTATTTTCCATTCTTCTTCGTCCCTTTCGGGATAAGTCGCGAGAGTGTCGTGACTCGTTAGAACCGCCCCAGTTTCCAAGGGGATCGATAACGTCGACGCCATCGCGGTGCCGTTTGTTCGCCGCCTGGATTTCCCCTTTCCCCCGCGTTGCATTTCAGTTGTTTAAACCGTGGAAATCTTTGCCACGATGGCTTTATCTGCTCCAAAGGGGAACATGTTCTTTCCATTCGACTCGGAAGACAGTGTAGTTACGCGTTGTACATCGAAGGCTCGGCTCGAATGGGTTAGAGGAAGAGATTCTCCACTTCGTGGATGCTCGAGGAAAAAGGGAAATAAAAGTCGGTCGAATTCCAAGCCGGAGGAATTATCGCGATACCCAGGCAGAAAACGATAAACGGGGGTGAAGGAAGCCGTGCACGGAGAATGGCACCGGGGGCATTTACTGCCTATAAATAACCGTTATTACGTGGTGCATTACCGTGCCGAAAAAGCGAGAAACGGAGAACGTTTAGCCGCCTGCGAGCGAAGGCCGCGAGGCAAAGCGACCCGAAGTGTACTATACTCGTGACTTCGAGAGGGAAAAAATGGGTAATACACAGTAACTCACAAATTTGTTCACGGAAGTACAAATTAAATTACGTACCAAATTAGGAATCTTATTTCAAAATGAAGAAAAATTGTTTATGATAAAAGTAAAGATCACAGGGATACATAAATAAAAATTGCATAAAAATCTTTTACGTTTAATTAGAATTTGGAAAATATATGAACGTGGGTCACTGTTATATCCTGGCTTGGACTCGACTCAGTGGATGAAAGTGAAACCAAAATGGCGACCGCCTGGAGGCCCGTGGAACGCTTACGCGCGATTCACCCGATCGGATTTTCGTAGCTTAGACTCGCATTATAGAATTCCCTGTGTCCTCTTGCTTTTCCAGGAGAGTCGAGGGCTTACCTCGCGTAGGAAGCCACTCGAGCTTAGTTCGTCTCGTAAACCCGTTTCACGCGCGTTCCTTCTCAGCCTCAACGATCATTGTACGCGAGCATCTCTTGGTTGGGGCACCCTGGAGCTCGCCGTTTAAATACAGGTTGCCATGGATCGCCGCCTGTCATCTGCCAGTCCCGTGGAACGAGAAAAGGTTTCAGTGTTACTCGCGAACCTTTCACCGGTTTAACGAACGTTTCGCGTTAGCCCTTTAACAGACCCACAAATCGTTATTTCAAAATCATGAGACTGAAGTATTTAGTCGTCATAGAAATTGATTCGATCACGATTATCATGACTGTCGATCTATAACCTATCGAAAAGATCATAGTAAATTAATTATGAAAGTCTATTCGTAACAGTAGAGGACACTATAATTCTCCCAAGGTTTCACCCAGCAGATCTGTGAAAATTTGGAGTGTACAAACGTGGACAAACGATTCCAATGCTTAATTTAGAGAAAATGCAATATGAAATACTCAGTGCTGTCATATCTCATTATTTATGTTTTTTTCTTAATAATGCGATTCTGTTGGGTGGACAAACAAAAATTTCGGGTGGACAAACGTGAACATATCGTGGACAATCATATCTCATTCAGAAATAAAGGAAAAATATTTGTGGGAGTATTGATATCATATTCGTAATTTGTTTTAACTTTTTTTTGAAGGGTGGACAAACGAAAATTTGGGGTGGACAGACGTGGACATATCGTAGACAATCATATCTCATTCAGAAATGAAGAAAAATATTTGTGGGAGTATTGATATCATATTCGTAATTTGTTTTAACTTTTTTTTGAAGGGTGGACAAACGAAAATTTGGGGTAGACAAACGTGGACATATCGTGGACAATCATATCTCAGTCAGAAATGAAGAAAAATATTTGTGGGAGTATTGATATCATATTCTCAATTTGTTTTAACTTTTTTTTGAAGGGTGGACAAACGAAAATTTGGGGTGGACAGACGTGAACATACCGTGGACAATCATATCTCATTCAGAAATAAAGGAAAAATATTTGTGGGAGTATTGATATCATATTCGTAATTTGTTTTAACTTTTTTTTTGAAGGGTGGACAAACGAAAATGTTGGTTGGAAAAATGTGGACAAACGAATACTGTTCGTTTTTCATAATATTTTGCATTTAGGGGTGTTAACTTCACAGACCTTCACCCAGCAGCCTTTTTCCTTATGAAAATTACTCTTGAACTTGATATTCAAGCGTTCCCAGACAGACGTTCCACGAAACTTCGCGGTGAACTACGAAATGCACTTTACAGCCGCGGCGCTAACAAACGGCTACGAAGCCCACAGAGCTTCCAGCAAGAGCTTTAACTCCCGACTGAATCTCCCCGTCTCCCAAAGTCGCGTGATCCTGGCTGCGAGAGGGAAACTTAAGCGTGGAAGCCGCGTCGCGAAATCGATCTTGGAACTCTCTGACGGACCTTTATCCTTGTGGACACTTTGTCGCTTCCTGCCAAGCGTGCCTTCCGGTTCACCCGCTGTGATTTTCTTGCCTCCTTTCCGGAAGCATTTTCGGTTGACCCACTCTCTGTGAATTCTCCTCGAACTGTCGTAGAGGACACGTTCTGGGCTGTACGTGGCTTGGATAGTACGTCATTTGATAAATTATACAGTAGCTTCAGAGATGCTTCTCTCCTTCGAGACTTCGAAATTGCAATCTATTAAAGGGACTAGGCGGTCAGATTTGGTAAAAATGTAACTTTTCTTTGGGAATTAATTACGAGGAAATGAATACAAGTTGTAACTTGGGTAATGTTTATTAATACTATAAACTGTAAAAGAAATTGAACTATGAAACATCCTGGAAAATTTGGCACTCTGTAGGCCTTCATTCTGCAGCTATTGAAAAAGATAAATCAAAATTATAAAAATAGTGTCCCTAAAACAGCAAATTTTTAAAGAAACATGATTTTCCCTCAAAACAGAAGTTTTCACAGACGTACACGTAGGTTCAGTCCTTAACTAGACATACTTTACATATGCTCAGTTTTTTTCTTGTAATTACTTCCCAAAGAAAAGTTACATTATTACCAAACCTGACTGTCCAGTCCCCTTAAGAGGCGTGGAACCGTTCTGCAAGGTGATTTTTCGTGTCCCGTACGGTTACGTGAAACCACACCGGCTGCGTGACTCGAGATAAACCGAACATGGCTTATTAGAGATATACGGCAGATTGAATTAAGCAGCACGATTACAGTTGGTATGTATATACGTGTATTATGTATATATGTATATTTGCGCCAGTGTTATCATCTGGGGCCGGGCCACGGCGACACAAGTCGCGGAACCGCGTCGAGGATTCGACCCGTGGAACAATAGCTTATCCGTACGTGTAATCTTATATCGGGCGGGTATCAAGTCTCCCCCTTCCCTCTACGGGCGGTCTGATAACTTTTATGAAACACTATTGAGGTCATCGATCGATAACTCTTCCCGGGAAAATGTCCTCCTGTGGTCCTCCCAGGGAGGCAACCTCGAGCACTATCCTCTTCGTTGTCTCATCTAGACAATTGTTTTCTTGGATGCCTGCTTATACCTCCGTCCTCCCGTATCACGCTGTCTCTCTTCTAGACTTTCCTTTCTGACCAGCCCGTTGATATTACGCGCGATAAATTCGCCGACCTCCAGACCCGGGAGTAAAACTTCCTATGCTTCTTGAATTTCAAATCCGCCAATGCCAACCGCTTCTGATACCTCATTATACCATCCCCCTCGAGCCAATTGGAGGCACTTGCGTTCTGTTTTCCAAGTGGAGCGCGAAATTTTCTCCGCTCCAATTTACTCGGTCTCGAGGATTAAACTCGCGGAGTAAAAGTATAATCCAGTCTTCGGGCTGAAACAATTCCCCGTGGCTGCGTCTTAGGATTCCCGTGTGGATTCGTCGAACATCGAACTGTTCGACCAGGCAGAATGGGGAAGCATAGTATAGGTTAAAACTAGGGGTGGATTCGAAGCTGATTTTCAAATTACTGAAACTCGAAGTGCTGATCTTGCTTTGTAAAAAGAATATTCATTTTTAAGAACTGAAGTCCCATACAATTTTTGCATAAATCTTTAATGACAAAATAACAATATATTCACTTATTCCTGACCCCCAGAAAAAACCTATCTCTAATTAAAACTCACCCAGCTTTATTCCAGGAACGGTAAATAAATTCTCAATTTTTTTACGCCCCAAGCGACGTGTTTTTATCGAGTATAATAAAGATCGTTCCTGATTCGTCTAAGGCTCCACGATCC